GGGCTGCTAAGTTCCTCTCACTTACATTTTTTCCTGCAAGGAGAAGTTCCTCCTGGTTCCCTGCTGCTTCTGTCAGAGAGATGGGGTGGTGGAGGCTGGGTGTTCTTTATGTGGCTTTTCTGAGTTTCTGTGCTCACTAGCATTTTCTGTTACTTTATCGATGTGTTCCAGTGCTTTCCTTTAGTTATTTTCATCCAAGTGTAGTTGTTTATCCATTGTTTAGTCTGTCATTGTGGGAGAGAAGAGCAGTAGAGTCCTCCTTTGCATAATTCTTGATAACAACTCACATTTATGTATTTCTTAATGCAACTCTTTAACACCTGAAATGGGCAGCATGAGCCATGGAGTGATGAATCCACTTAAGTTCTTAGGGTTTCATTAAAGGCACAATAACTGATAAGTGCTATATAGCTGTCTTGAATTTATAAGAATGATAATGCATGCTATAAAATGTGGTAGATTAAATATATGAGAAGTTTTCATTGTATGTGATGTTCAGTATTGCTGGCTAATGTTATTAATGAAACAATTAAGCTAAGCCATCGAAATAGGATTTCCATACATGTGTCAGTCATGACATCAATATATTATTGCTATGGCTAAAAATTCAAAGGTCTCACTATTTTTTAACGTTCCTTTATCATATTATTTAGTGTCTGTCTTGTAAGGGCTTTCTTTCTGATGTTTTTTATCTAAACTCTTAATCTCATTCATAAATTCTGTCTGCGTATATCACAATAAATGGTCATCTATCCTTTGCTTAAAAACCTCCATCTCTCACTCCCCCTCCCTTTTTTGTTTTATAGATGGCTGTGATTGTTAAAAAGTGTTCCTCTTATTGAGTTGAAATCTGATGTCTTTGCCCTAAGAATGCTCCTTTTTCTGCACTGTGCCTAAACAGGAAGTCAGCTCTTTCTCACCTTTTATGATCCTTAATATGTCAGAAGATAGTCATCATGGCCCCTCAGTCTTTTCTCTATCTTGGGCAGACTCTTCTGAATTCTCATAAAGTAGATGACAGCTTCAAATAAAATGTGCTGTTACTAAATAACTACAGATTGCTAGGTGTTCCCTGACCATTACTGGGGAAAGAGGGCCTATTATGTGTCTCTTGACCCAATGGAGTCTCATTGCTCCTTTCCAAGTTCCCAAAACACACAATTATATGCACTGGAATTTGCATTCTCTAAATCATTTTATTTTCATTTAGTTCTCAGTAATTTTAAAACATTTTAACTTGGCTACCTACATCCAAGGATTTTTTTATTGCTACTCTAAAATAATTGCCTGGCAAAATAACATTTTCTTTTTAACACCATGAAAGAATTCCTGTAAACTGCTTTATTAACTTGTAGCCGTCTTGACCAAACTCTGGTCTTCTCTTCAATAATCACTATACTTTTTCTACCCCTTGACACTGTTTGGTAAATTCACGTTTATATTGTGTGTTCTGAAGTAGTTTTGTTTTACATAAATCTTGCAGTCATTCCATGGCAAGATAAAATCATTGCATCATTCTGCAGTTTTTAAATTTATTATGTTTTAAACAATGGCTACTTACTAATTGATTTACTAATTTACATGAGTGAGTGACTGATTAGCCATGAAACTTTAAATACATGGCTTAATCTGTCCGTGCTTTGGGTTTTTTGAATGCAAAACAAAACATTAGGTAAAATAATTTCTACAATGCCTTCCTGCTCAAATTTATTACCTGAAAGCTCATCTATGGACATCTGAATGCCCTGCTAATGACATGGAGGGGAAATATTCCAATTAGTTTTTCAAGAAGAAGAGGCTATTTTACATTTTGTGAAGAAGAGACTTTTTTTTTTTTTTCCTTTTTGTCTTTTTTCGTGTCCGGCAACGGATCGCAACCCTCAGTGTTGCACCCGTACCGAACCGGGACCGGCAACGGGATCGCAACCCTCGGTGTTGCTCCCACACCTCGCTCAGCCAGTGAGCGGGAACCGGTCTGTATGTGGGATCCGAACCCTCGGCGGGAGCGCCACCGCGCTCCCAAGCGGCACACTGTAGCAGTGCGCCACTGGGCCGGCCCAAGAAGAGACTTTTAAAAAAAATAAATTTTATCATGTATATTTCAGGTTTACAACTTGATGTTATAGGATACATATAGATAGATTAAAATGGTTACTATAGTTGTATTAGTCCGTTTATTTTGCTTATAACAGAATACCTGAAACTGGGTAATTTATAAAGAAATAAAATGTATTTTTTACAGTTTTGGAGGCTGGGGTGTTCACAGTCCAAAGGATGTATCTGGGCAGGGCCTTCTTGGTGGTGACTTTCTTTTTTTTTTTTTTTGTCATTTTTTTTTGTGACCGGTAAGGGGATGCAACCCTTGGCTTGGTGTCACCCGCACCGCGCTCAGACAGTGAGCTCACCAGCCATCCTTATATAGGATGCAAACCCACGGTGGGAGCGCCACTGCGTTCTCAAGCGTTGCACTCTCCTGAGTGCACCACGGGGCCTGCCCTTGGTAGTGACTTTCTAAAGCAACAGAGGTTATCACATATGAGGGGCAAGAGCAAGAGAGTGGCAAGAGCAAGAACCTTCACACTTGCTCTCCTTTTAAAGCCATCAGATGCATGCCCATTACTAATGAATCAGTGGATTCATGAGGGTACAGTCCTCACAATCTAATCACCTCTTAAAGGCCCCACCTTCCAAATACCATCATTGGATTTTCCATTCTCTTAACACTGTTACAATGGGGGTCAAGTTTCCAACCCATGAATTTTGAGTGATACATTTAACTCACAGCAATAGTGAAACATTAACATATCCATCATCTCATATAAATTACCTTTTTTTGTAACAAGAGCAGCTAGAATCTATTTAACAAAGATTCCTAATACAGTACAATTTTGTTACCTATAGTCCTCATGTTGTGCATTAGATTTCTAGACTTGTTCATCCTACATATCTGCTACTGTGTATCCTTTGAGCTGTATCTCCTCATTTCCTCCTCTACCTCCTCTCCTAGGCCCCCTCCCCGTGACCCCAAGCCCCTGGTAACAACTATTTTATTCTGTCTGTATATTTGACCTCCCCTGTAGTGACCCCCGGACCTGGAGGACATTATGCTAAGTGAAATAAGCCAGACACAGAAAAATATCGCATGATCTCACTTACATATAAGTGACATTTTTGAATGCCACAAAGAGAATGCAGTTTATAAATACATCTTCCAAAAGTTTCTTCTGTTTTTTCTTCAGGCTTCTTTCTAGAAAATTTGAAGAGAATGTGATATTATGACCCATACTGTAGGGCATTATTAGTCTTTTCTGTCAAAAAATTTTATTGAAATTGAATAAAGATATAATGAAAGCTCATTTAAAAACCTACGTAAGTGAAAAGTACTTATGTTTGATAAATAAAAATAGTCAAATTTAGAAATTTCTCATGTGTAGGCAATTATTAGGAAAATCAAATACTTTTTTACTGGAATTAGGTTAAGAATGACTTGAAACCATGGTATTTGTGATTTGTGAAAGATACAGTGCACATGTTGCCTGCTTGCATGCATTTCTCTTGTGATTTACTAAAAAGGGAAACATATGCTTGAATAATATGTTCCCATGCTGAGAGACTTAATTATTTTTCATGACGGGTTCCAGCTGAAGAGAAGCTGTTTCACAGGTTGGCCACAGGATGAATTTATATTGTCTGCTAATACTGTTAGCCTTTCTCTACACCTTATAACGTGTGCTATCACTTTATAACCATCTACTACAGTACTTTGGAAGAATGCCCCTTGAGAGTAACTAGGAGTTGTCCATCCAGTTAATAAGAAGCTGTATGTCTCATGCTAAAAACAATTTCCGTGAAGGTAGCAACTTCACAACTGTCCTTTTTTTTTTTTTTTTTTTTACCTGGGGACTTGAGTTATATTATCTAATATGGTGGCTACTACCCACATATGGATATTGAGTACTTAAAATGTGTCTAGTCTGAATTGAAGTGTGCTATATGTATAAAATATAACAGATTTCAAATCTTACTGTAAAAGAATATGAAATATCTCAGTAATTTTATATCGATTACATGTCAAAACGATATTACTTTTACATTTATATATAGATTAAGTTAGGAATATTGTTAAAATTAATTTCACCTGGCTCTTTTTTTTTTTTTTAATGCAGCTATTTAGAAAACTGAGATTACATTAGTTACTCACATTATATTTCTCTTGGACCGGGCTGGTCAAGAGTGGTTGATTACTTGTGGATCAGAGTAACTGTAAAATTTAGGCAAAATTTAATCATATGTACAGTATTCCTTTATTTAGAAATTTTTGCATGCCATCTTCTATATACGTCTTGAGTATTTCTTACTCCAGAGTTGTGCTCATTTTGGTTTCTATGCCTGGATTAGCAAACACCTGCTCCCGACTCCTGCCGCATTAATTTTAATGTATATATACCTTAAGGTCTCCTGACAATCTCAGACCATGGTGTACAGCTATTCTTGCTTACTGCACATTGATTTCTTCCTTCTCTGAACTTATTTTGCATCTACAAAGTATATCAGAAAGCTAACAATTAGGTTCTACCTTAAAATTATCTTTAAAGATGTTATGTGTTTCTTATATTAGAAGCATTTTGAAGAGGGAGGAATAAGACTCAGATTCTTCTATTTTCTGAAAAATGATCATCTTCAGTACACTACAAACTGTCAGTGAATAGTTGGATAATGTATCCTTCATGAGCTGTAACTTTAGTCATTCTTCCCGCTTCCTAGTGCCTTACTGGATATTAATAATAGACTTATGATTTATGATTATGCTCTTCTGGCTAAGCCAAGTTTTTAAGTGGTACTTTAAAGAAAGAAAAGTTATGTATGACACTTCTAAAAATCATAAAGGAAATTTACTATTGCATTTAAAAAAATCTATAGTGCCCCCTTTTTCTCTAATGTACTTTTTTCTGTAATGTCTTCCTTTATACTTTTTTAAAAAATGGTTTTTGAATGTTCAGGATGATGCTCGACAACTCTTTGTGCTTGCTGGAGCAGCTGAAGAAGGCTTTATGACTGCAGAACTTGCTGGAGTTATAAAGAGATTATGGAAAGATAGTGGTGTACAAGCCTGTTTCAACAGATCCCGAGAGTACCAGCTTAATGATTCTGCAGCATAGTAAGTAATCATAACTTCAGAACTAAACTATCATGAATAATTACTCACTAGTCAAATATACCTCCAAGTCAATGTTATTGCTGAATTAGCTGATGCATTCTTCTACAATTCAGGATATTCAGGCTGACAGCATTTTAAAATTTTCTCTGTCTTTTCTGTGTGTTGGTAGATAAGCAATACTGTTATTTTCTATGTGTTCAATAGTATTTCAAGGGACTCATGTTTTTGTAACTCTAATTGAAACATGCAAAATGGGACTGTTTCCAGTATGTTTCCAAGAAAGTAATTGGAACTTCCCAAAATTCATTCTCAATTTGGGTGTATCTCTAGTTTACTCAGAGCTAGCCAAAGGAGAGGGTATCTGATTTGGGTTCTTTTCATTATTATACTAATGGTAGCTGAGAAGAGTTACTTTTTCAATGACAGTCACCATAAGTAGGGACTTTTTGAAGGGGTGTATGGGGATACAAAGATATTTTCTTACTAAGTAAAATAGCTCTCTACACTGGAAAATCTTCAATTGTCTGTGCTCTGTTGCATTAGACACTGTTTACAGGTATTTAAGTACAGTTTTTTGAAAGAAAGATTTGCCCTCATTTTCTAGGTAGTGACCCCAGAAAGTTTACAAAGCAAGTTGTGATAAAAGCTAACCAGGGAGCTTTCTGTTTGGTGATCTCTACATAGAATAAAAAACAAATTAAGTATTTGTTTCCATAATTTGGCACATATACACAAAAATGTCAGATATGATATGTGTAGCATTAATTGGTCTTTAAAACATGTGCACTCATTTTACTTTCTAGTATTGTTCCATTTTCTTGACAGTTATTGGCTCTTAGGGACACAAGTAAGAACTAGATAATAGATGACAGGTATTGGAACATTTAGGTAAATGCATGCACTTTGCCACAAAGAAAAACCAACAAATGGGGTATGGTTCCTGAGGACCTAATTATCTTATTATAATACATCATTTGCTGAATGTCAGAGTACTCAGTATGGGTTGCATGATTTAGTATGAGTGAATAAATAATACACATCATTGTATCACCCATAGCAGTCTTGATAATCCTGTATTTCTTAATCTGTTTTAATATTTTATACTTATATAAACATATATATTATTATGTATATTGTTTATATATGTATGCACATATTCTTGTTGAATATATAGCCCATCTCTCCAACTGGTATCATCACTTTTACAAGGAAATAGTCTTTGACCAACTAAGTAGGTCCTTGCTTCCCAGTTATAGGTACTTATTATGTGATGTACTATTCCTTCAGATTTACAATTATTTTGGGGTTATTTGATTTATATTTATGTTGTTACTGTTGATTATTTTCTCTGTCACTACACTGTAAATTCAATAATGTCTGTTTTTGCCTAACGTTGTATTCCCATAGCCTGACACATAGTCATCACTCAGCATGATCTTGTTTAATAATAAGTGAATTAATAAAACAGATTTCACAGAGACTAGAAGACAAATTAGAAAAATTACTTAAGAGGAAGAACACAACTGTTAAATGATAATATTTGCTTTGGCATCACCAGTAAGAAGATTGATCTGAATTGAGCCCAACAAAAGGAGATATTTCAGTAGTTAAGGAGTGCTACTTGGGGATGATAGGTCGAAGTCGTTTGCCTCACCATATAGGGGGACTTTCAGATCCCCTATGTCTCTTGAGCAAGATCCTCCTGTGCACCCTACTTGAACATGCATTGAGAAAAATGTGTTGCTTTGGCATTCCGTTATTTTATTTATAATTCTGACTGCAAGATAGCAATAATGCAGCTGTTTTTCAAGGATGAAGAATGCCACAGAAACCTTTTTCTTCGTAGTGCTTAGAGGGCATCTTGATTTCTGAGTTCTTGACTGGAGATGGTGGGATGCTGCCAAGTTGCTCATTGGGACTGTCTAATTACCAGTTTACACTTTAAACTCATGATCATTTGAAACAATTGGAGTTTTTTACACTGCCTGTATTTTTTTGCCTTGTTGAAATATAAATGTGCATTATTTATAGAAACTGTTAGAACTATCTATAGCATTTTTAAGCAAAGAAATGGATCTTTTAATAATGAGAGCACCTTTAAATAAGAGTAGCTCACTATTTTAAAGGGGCAGTTAGTAAAATCTTACTATGGCTTCTTTTGTTTGTTAAGCCAGATTTTTTCTACAATAAAGTATAACATTATATTTGTGGAATTAAAAGCACAGATAAAGTACTGGGGAATTATCACTAATGTGATAATAAGATTCTGTTAAATTCAGTAAATACAATATATGTAACCCAAATTGTCATCTCTCCTCGTGTTCTAGTGTCAACACAGCATACATATGCTTGACTGTCTAAAATATTTTTGTTACTAATTCAGTGTTTGAATAGTTTTCCAACTCTGTTCCTGACAAATCAAGCATTTATTGAGCTCCTTTTGTTTGCAAGACCACATTCTAAATGGCTAAGCATCAGTTTCAGAGGATAATACCAATTTAAAGTTGCAATAGTTGGTGCCCCTCTGTACATAGATTTATTTTCCAAGTTTCTATCCTGAACTATTATAGTATCACAAAGCACTGCAGTGATATGCCCCCACGTTCAGCTCACCTTAGAATTCTTTCCAGACTTCTCATTAAAGGTCATACATGTCCTGCGAGTGGGCTTACTCTCCAAGAAGCAAGACATGACTGTTCCTGTCTCCAGACTGATTTACAGCTTCTTCTGATGGGAATGACATTCCCTTTTTTCAGTTCCATTATTCACATGTCTGTGTTTCTAAGAATTACAATTGTCGTTATCCATGAATTCTTCTTTAATCACCTAGGTCTGTGTTAATCTCTTCATACCTGTACTTTCTGTGAATTACTGACTTTACCATATGACTTGACAAAATATTTTACTCTCTTACATTGCATGGCATGATACCACTACACTGTTATATCACAACATGTTCGGCATTATTGGCACACTATTAGATGAGTGGCTAAAATTGAAGGAGAGCAGTAAAATGCAGAATAAATGAGCATGGGCTGTATTTTCCTGTGTGGGTAAATACTGGTTGAAAAGAAATATCTCATTTGGGCTTTGGCCAGAGGTCTCCTCACTACTTGTTCCAAAATTAAGACTTTAAAAATCTTCAACAAAAGAATGATGTCTGGAACATAAACACAGTACTACATCAAAAGAGTGTAATAAATAATTTTAAGAAAGAAACTCATGGTGTGCATTAGTTTTTAAAAATAATTTTAAAAGGTTATTATTTTCTTTCCTTCGAATTACTGTCCTCAAAAAACAAAGTACACATTTTAAAAATACCAAAAGAGGCTTGTGGCCTGGAGAAGTATAAACATTTTTATTTCAGTGGGAATTATGTAAGATAGAATTTGAATTGGTTGTCCAATATTATTGCACAGAAATTTTGAGACTTCTGGTGACTTCATAATATTGCATGCATTGAGAAATATGTTTTTATTTGTTTTAGATTATTTTTATTGGCTATATTTACTATTAGCATGTTGTGTTGTTTATTTTTTCAGCTATTTGAATGACTTGGACAGAATAGCACAACCAAATTATATCCCAACTCAACAAGATGTTCTCAGAACTAGAGTGAAAACAACTGGAATTGTTGAAACCCATTTTACTTTCAAAGATCTTCATTTTAAGTGAGTAGCTTTGAAACATGTAATTTATAAATTTAGATATAAAAGACATTGCTTTTGTAATAAAAGGTACAATGATAAAAGCTGACATTTTAACAGTTGGAAATTACAGTTGGAAAACACTTTTCTCAGATGATTGCACAAACGAATTTTGGGGTGACAGTGGGCAAAAAGGCATTCTTAGAAAGACTATTTTTGATTTAAGAAAAATTGCCAGCCAAATTTTGCTTATAGTTTTTTGCCTATAGTTTTGTAGTGATTTAAACAAAATAGTTTTTGGCTTTTATTTCAGAAAACACTGCTATAATATAGTGTATTTTAGAAATGTGTTGCCATCCATTTTTAGATAAAAAAGAGATAAAGTTTTTTGATGGGTTATATGCTTATTTATGAAAATGGTAAAAAGGATACCTTTTTAAAATTTTTTCACAACTATTTTTATTCATACTGAACCGATGTTTGCGCTGTATCATGATGAGAAGTGTTCATTTAATTTAAAGTGTACTGAATATTAACTTCCTGAGATCTGAGCAGAGAAGGACTGACGTGTTGCCTTTAGAAATAGAAGGGATTCTGGAGTTCGTTTTCTCCATTTCCCTCATTTAATGGGAAACCAGGCTCAGAGAAGTTCAGTAAAACATTATTCACATTTAGAGAACTGTATTTCTCTTTTTCCAATAAATAACAATTTTGAAGGTATGAAAAAAACTGTTGGACTTAAACATAATGAGATATTTCAGTTTACAGATTCTTGTTTTATCTTTCCAGCTTTCCTGGCTGCAGTTGCTTTAATCTGTTTTTCCTTTCCAGATCATCTGCTACCTGATTTTAAGGTGCCATGACTTGCTTGTTCTAAATGCTCCACTTATTAATTCTGTTATCCACCTGATCGAATATTGTGCATTGTTATTCGTCATTTCTGTTCACCTTATTAAAAAAGAGGTTGTATATCCTATGTAAAAGTATATACATGAGTAAGGTAATTTAACATCACAGGATTTACTACTGAAACAAAACTGTGTTTTTATAGAAATCCCAGACCACTGTAGTGTTACTTGATCTTAAAAAATACTGATTAAAATAATATTTACAGATATTCCTTTTTTCTCCCTTTAATTTTATTTTTTTAGCATGTTGAAGCTAAATAAAGGAGCTTGCAGAAGTTCTTTTTTTAAAAACTCCTAGTTTCTCATAATTCAAATTCATTTGAAATGTCACAATTCCTAAGTGCCAGTTGAGTATGCAGCAGGAGGAACACTGAACACAAAGCCCTTGAACAGCTTGCGAGGCCCTTGTAAGGGGCAGTGCCTAATAATATCAACGTCATACGTTATATTACATCATTCACGCTATATTAAAACCCATGCGTTCCCTACACCATGTGAATATTCACTAATAAATGTTCTTGGAAATAAAAATTTTAAAATGCTAGATAGAATTAAATGAGTAGTAGATTTGTAGTTTTTTCGTTTTCATTTTTCTTAGTTTAACAGGTAGGTCTTTTTTGTATTTTAAACCAACAAGATCAAAATTGATTTTAAGGCATATTGCAACTGGGGTCAGTCAGGGGTGTCCTTCAGATCACACCTGCAGAGCTTTATACACATGTTGACTTAAATTGAACACACTCCAGTTGTTCCTAGAGAAAATTCGATTAGAAAAGGCATTTATGAGATATTTATTCTTTATGAAAATTTTTATGATTTTTATACTCTATACTTCTCCAAGTTTTAATTTTTTAAATACTAAAAGGGATTAGGTAAGTGATTTGTTATCAATGATTTGTGATTTTTTTTTTAGATTAGGTTTAGTGGAGGTTTTTGGTTTCTTTGCAGAAATTAAACTTCACAATACTGTGTCTATATTCCCTTAACTTTTACCCTACTACATCCCCACTATACCAAAGAAGTAGAGTAAAAAAAAGACGAAGATAAACAAAAGCAACAAACTGTAACCAGTCTGAATTTGTCAAGAAGTAATGTATATACATTTGGTTTGCAAATGGAGTATTGCAATATTGTTATTAAAATTAATTTTTCTCTTTTACTTTGATTAAAAATGTCATGATTCAAGATAATCATTGTAAATAAGCCTTTCATATGAATTAAGGATTAGACTATGCTTCAGTTAACTCTAATGTTTTGAAACGGTAATGATAATAAAGCTAAAGCAGAATTTCTAAAAGCATCTTAAATAAAAGGTTCCTACTCAGAGATAAAAAAACAAATAATTATTAGTTTACCTGATAAACTCACTATTATATGTTGTGAGCACGGTGAAATATATTCAGCTAACTCTGATTGTTTCCATAAGTATTTTAAATATAATATATTTGTTACTACCATTTTTCACTAATTTGTCAGTGGTTCTTGTAATTGAATTTTCCAGACAACTAAAATTTAATTTCCATGGCCACTCCCCCCCAAAAAACTCAAATGTTGCCCTGCTTTCTTAAATGAATATATAGATCATAATTAGTTATCTGGCAATATTAATGTTATGCTTTAATACTAAAATACAATAATTTTTCATGGTTTTGCATATGCTTTTAGTTTTTTTCTGTTTCATTCTTTTTTAAGCCCTCGGGGGACATTTTTTGCTGCTGGCATTGAAATCATTTACCTTCTTTTATTATTATTACTTCTAGAATATTAGATAACCAGACTCAGTACTCTGATTTTGAATAATGTGATATGTCTGATATAGGAACTGTTTTCACTTTTGTCTTAAAACTGGGAAGTGATTATAATTACAAGAAAATTCACTGTTAGAATGAGACTTTAAAATTTGTTTGTTTTTTAAACCTAGTGGACCTTAGATTCTTATTTTTTTGTTTTTTGGTGTACCTTATTTTAAAAACCATGTTCTAAAGCAAACTGATATCATTATGTTCAGGTAATGGCTATTTCTACCCAATATAGTCTGAGGAGAAAGTGCATGGAGTTGAGACTAGCAAAAGGACTCTAAACCTAGGCTCCCCCTATTAAGTAGCTGGGCAAACTTGGTTAAGACTCTCTTAACAGAGAGACTATTACAGTCTTGTCCTTTGTCAGAGGCTTAAAGATAGAGTGGAGCTATTTCCCATAAGAAAACAATGTTGTAAAGGTGAGAACTCTGTAAATGGTGAGAAACAGCAATAGCGAATGTTAAATCAATTACTGGTACTTAAGGCACTCTGACTATATAAAATTCACTTTTAACTTTGGTTATATGCACTCTTAAACATTTACTTCCAGACCATACTTTTCGCTTCCAACCTGGGTTTTTCAAAGTTATTTCAAAATTCAGCAAGTACTGGAATTCAGTAAAGTTGACTCTCTCCATGATCCTTCCAGGAAGTCCATTTATCTTATTACTCCATTTATAGGCTCATTGGGTGAGGCAGAACCTCACAGGATGTATATAGTTACTGTTTTCATTTGCTTACTTAAAGATAAACATAGGTTTGTCAGGAACTTCAGATAAACTATCTTATTTTAGAGTTGAAATTTGTTAAATTACTATCATTTCTAACAGTCGGTTCCAACTTTGCTTTTTATATGTTAAATGAAACCAGACGAATGAGGGCAGAAATGCATTTAGAATCATTCTGCTGAAAATTCTTGAGTGTGGTCATCATTTTGTAGTTCTGTGTGCATTTTGTGTTGTAATTCTTTATGTTATTTTAACTGCTGAGTAAAATTTCAGTTCCATTTTTTTTGTGTGTGTATGATTGCTCTTAACAAATTCAAAGTGAGGCAATAGGGCATTATAATTTAAGAATTTATATTGTCATCTCCATCACTAGGCATTATGGCCAGTGTCTATGTGGATTATTTTGCTTCAATTAAAGAATCAGAGTTGTATTTTACTATGATATTTTTTGCCAGATACAAAGCATCCCTTCTATATAAAATTATCATAAAACAAATTTCTATTCTTTTTCTATAGTAATATAAATGTGTAATAGATTTTGGAGTACGGTGTCCCATTTATGAGTTTGTTATCCATATATGGTCAGCTAGCTGTGTACTAATCAATCTTGGTCACAGTGATATTAGATGACAGTCTAGGGTAAGTCAGCACATCTCAGGATCTCTGGCATTCCCTTCCACCTCACTCTCCAAAAAAGCCTCTTGGAAAACTCAAATTCATTCCCTATTTGATGCTAGTCAAAAGTCTCATCTTTTCATATGAAAGAGAACATAATATATTTTTTTGTTGTGGGGTGGTATTTTTGGTGTTTATTCTTTGAAAAATAGAAGTTTAGAATTTAAAGAACAGTATAAAGTAATTAAGATGTTTCTAATGTGTGCATGGAACAATGAATAGTGCTCTGTTCTTTTTTAACTACCCTTTAATGAAATATGAAAGTGGTGATAAAAATTAGAGTTTCTTCTGCTTGATAGTATCTTCACGTAGCTCTCTCTAAATGCTAGTAAATTGTTAAGCACAGTCTGGTCATTTATAGTATCAGTTAAGTAATTTTTGCTTCCATCTGGTAATACTGATGCACACCATAGTTTGAGAACCACTGGCTTACACCATATGTTCTTTGTTTGTTAACAGTATATGAACAGCCCTCATTCATTTATAGTTCATAATTTAAACAAATTGAAGAGATTTCTTCTGTATTTAAATAATTTGATTATCCAATTAAAGCTCTTTTATATTTAACAAACCCACAACATAACTGGTAGATCTAGATCTTGAACATGGCAAAGTTAGTCCATTATTTTTTCAAAGTGTTTGAAAATATTCTGTATTCATCTATCCAATAAGTGTTTATGAAGTACTAGCAGTGTGTCCACTGTTTGGGACATAAAGAAAAGGAAAAGAAACAAAGTGTCTTTACATTCTTGGCGGAGAATAGGGTTAAGGTGGAGGAGATGAAATAACTATTTAATATTAAGGGATGATAATTGCTGTACAGAAAAATAGAATATATAGAAAATATATATGTATATAAAATTATGGTAGAAGAACATATTCATTTCCTAGGAGTGCTGTAACAAATTACCACAAACGGGGTGCATAAACCAGTAGAAATGTATCCTCTCTTAGTTCTGGAGGTTAGAAGCTGAGATGGGTGTGTTAGCAAGGCCATGCTCCATCTGAAGGCTCAGAAGAGCATCCTTCCTTGCCTCTTCCTAGCTTCTGGTGGTCGCTGGCAGTTCATAGTGTTACTTGGCTTGTAGCTGTGTTACTCCAGTCTCTACCTCTGTTGTCGCATGTCTTTCTACCCTGTGTGTGAGGGGTTCCTTTTTCTTAATTGGTAATTCCTCAGTATCTCTTTTCACTCTCATTTTGTGATAAACAGCAAGGAGAAACTAGGCTGCAGTTTTCCACGCTTTGCTTGCAAATCTCCTCAGCCAAATATCCAAGTTCATTGCTTACAAGTTCTACCTTCCACCCCACATTGGGACACAGTTCAGCCATCTGTTTGCCACTTTGTAACAAGGATTACCTTACCTCTACTGCCTAATAACATGTTTTTCATTTCCTTCTGAGTCCTCATTAAAAGCACCTTTAACATTCTGTTCATGACAATATATGTATTTTCTAAGACAAGAGAAGCTTTTCTACTGTTTGCTTCCATCTGAGCTCTTACCAGAATTGCCTTTAATGTCCATTATTCTACCATGCATCTCTTCAAGGTGATCTAGATCTTTTTCTGTCAAGTGCTTTAGTATTCTTCCAGCTTCCACCCTTTACCCAGTTCCAAAGCCACTTCCACATTTTTAGGTATGTATTAGAGTAGCACCTGACTCTTGGTATAAAATTTATGTCAGTCGGTATTCTACAGACAAAGAGAACCAGTAGGTTGTGTTTGTTTCAAGGAATTGGTTTATGTGATTGTGGAGGCTCACAAATCTGAAGTTGGTAGGGCAGGCCAGCAGGCTTAGACATGAGAGTTATTGAGGTCTTGAGGAAGAATTCATCTTCTGGGAAACCTCCGTTTTAGTTCTTAAAGTCTTTTGACTATCTGAATGAGGCCTGTCCACATTATTGAAGACGGTCTTCATTACTTAAAGCCAGTTGATTATAGGTGTTAACCACATCTATAAAATACTTTACAGCAGCACCTGATCTAAGTGCTTGCTTAAATAACTGGTGTGATAGCCTGGCCAAGTTGATGCACAAAACTAACCATCACAGAGACAAAATGTGGGATGGAGTGAGTTGGGTTATTTTATATTGAATGGACAGGGAATATGTGACATATGATCAGAGAAATTATCTTTTTCATGAAGTTATTTTTAAATTTTGTTTCTAGGCAGTTTAACAAATGGTTACCCAATTCATATCATTTTATTTTCTTTTATTCTTGTTTGATCTTTATTACCAGCTGTCCTTTTTGTATCCTAATTATTTTGGTTTATTATGTGATGGACCCATTTTGTTATATAGCATTCTTAAATTTAATGAACAGGTTACTAGCTAAACCAAAAGAAAGAAGGCCACTCGAATGATGATAAAAGTAGCAATACAAGTTGATGTACTCAGATTTGGTTTATAGGCCAATATTGCTCTGTAGGGAAAATTCTTTTTGCCTGGGAATTAAATAGGGACTATTTTAATTAGTGCACTGTCTAGATAAATGGAGCCTTTAAAAATGTACTGGTTCCTATAGTGTTTCCATTACATAAGTGGTAATTTCTAGGTTGCCTGATGTAGTCTAAGCGAATTTCAGCTTTTGCTTAACTTTATATACTCTTGGTTTAAGAAAAAAGAGGAAAAGACCATTATCTTTATATTTTTTGTGTGTGTTACTACCCCATCCACTAACCTACAATGGTTCACAATTGTATATTGTGTAAAAATAACGTTTTTTCACTCTAAATTATAAAGCTATTCAGTAGGGCCATCCATTTATTTTATATTTCAGTCCCCTCATTTTTTTCTCTATACCATGGTTTTATTTTTTAATTTAGACAAGCCTGTTTGCCCCTATCTGAATTTGATTTAATTGCTCTGCATTATTTTTTTTCTTTTTAGCCTGGAATGGTTTCTTCTTTTCCTCAGAGTCCTGCTTATTGACTGAGAGAAATGAGTATTTTGTAGTAGGAAGGGAGCCATGTCCTGTGACTGTGGCACATTGAATGTCTACTCTGATCTCTGCACTCTCCAGTTTCTTCATGGGACTACTCAGTTTTACTAGCACAAAGCGCTTCTATTTGTATTTGCTTTAATGTTCTAAGTGTTCTCATGTTAATGAATGTCTTGTTTTCTGAGGGTGTTTTTTGGTTCTACTTTTGTTTTAGAGATACCCTCTCTTCAATCAAAACTTTGAAAAACCAAGCAGACATTTTTTCCCTTTGAGAAAAGCAATTTGTGACATTGTTTTCCTCCCATGAAGTCCTTTTCTCCTTTCTTCCCATCCCACATTTTTCCAGCTATTTGGAGCTTTTCTGTTGGCATTACAGAACTTCTTGGTGCTTGTGAACATTAATGTGACTGTCACCTCATTATTTTTTCTTTTACAGAATGTTTGATGTGGGAGGTCAGAGATCTGAGCGGAAAAAGTGGATTCATTGCTTCGAAGGAGTGACCGCGATCATCTTCTGTGTAGCACTGAGTGACTATGATCTGGTTCTAGCTGAAGATGAAGAGATGGTAGGTAGAACCCCTTTTAAGGATTGAGCATGAACTGTGAAGAGCCGGAGATGTTTTTCTCAGAAAAGTTTTTGGGAAATTATTGCTAATGCCTGAATTATTTGGAAGTTTAAGTTCTTTCTTCTAACCTCTCTGTTTGCATAATAAAAGAGAAGTATCAAAGTATTAAAGAAGCAGAAATGGATTCAATCTCACCCCAGCCCTGTGTGTTTAACTATGCATTCCTACATCTGATGTCTGCAACCTGAAAGAAAATAAAATTAGTTTCATAGTAGTCCAAGGCTCATTTTTCTTCACTTGTTACTTCTGCTAGTTTAGTAAACTTTGATACATGTTACATTTTGTTAATGCCATGTAATTTCTAGATGTGTTTTAATGTGCTGGTAATCTGCGGGAAATATTCTTAAACTCAGTCATTTAAAAATAACTTTAGAACAAGGTGGGAAACAAAAAGATAGAAATATCAGTTTCATATTTTTAAAATCAGGTATGTACAGTTTTAGTGCAGCGGGTGCAATGTGGTAGATACCTCACGTTCATTTTTCTCATTTTAGCACTGTAAATATCAGTGCCCTTATTGAACCCAGATACTGGAAGGATAGGGAACAGGAATTGGAAGTCTCCTCCCCTAATATTTAGAGTGTTGGACTAACTGAGCTTCAACTTTAATTTAATCTTTAAAACCTTTATTTATCTTTTAATGGGAACTTAGGTGAACTCTATAACAGTGACATTTCTTTTCAAATGTTCACACTTGGCATCCCTAGATTTTAATGTCCTGCAGAAGGATGTTCCCTGGCACAGTGCCTGACACACACGGGCCATTCAGCAAGTAATGGGTCTAATGCTGAAAGGGATGAGTGATGGATGATTAGACATTTATCTCATTTAAGTGTGCTTGTTCTGACATGGCAGAGATGTATTTTTGTGGTATATTACCTATTGTTCAACTGACTAATAAGCTCTGTTTTATTACAACACTTGTTATTTTTTAAAATATTCCACAAAATCCTTGCTGTTAGTGACAAATTTGCTTTATTCTTTTCTACTACAGAATCGAATGCATGAAAGCATGAAGTTGTTTGACAGCATTTGTAACAACAAATGGTTTACAGATACATCTATTATACTTTTTCTAAACAAGAAGGATCTCTTCGAAGAAAAAATCAAAAAGAGCCCTCTCACTATATGCTATCCAGAATATGCAGGTATTTTACTTTCTGAAAATAACTTACCAAAACATATTTCTAAGTGCAGCTTCCCCTAAGACAAGATTTTAGTTGCTGATTTGACTGTCTTAGCTTAGTAATTCTTATGTCTTTAAGGAGCATTATTTATCAAACTTTGTTCTGGCACAAATAGTTCCTTAATATGTGAATGAGATTACTAAAAATAACATATTCATTTTATGAAAAAGATGTTAGATAATTGTCAGATATTGTATGATGCACATTAAATAAGACATGTCTCTCCTTATTGTCTAATCTCAAAGACAAATCTACTAATAAACAAACAACGTACAATAGCAGTAAAACATTCTACAAAAAATGAACATGCTCGTTATCTTAATGGGAAAAATGGAGAAGAAATCAGTGAGGCAGTTAACCCCTCCAGAGAGCCAGGAAGGTTTCCCAGGAAATCTAAACTTTGGTATTGAGACTGTTAATGGTACTTTTTACTACTGTGGAAAATGCCCTGGAATGAGAAAAGTAGACTGAAGGTAAAGTCCTGGCTATTCCATAATTCAAGGCAGTTCCTTTACCTATGCCTCAGTACCCCATCAGGAACATTAGTAGTTGGGCTAAAGTACTGGTTTTAGTTTCTTTTAGTTCCTTGGAGCACCTTCTGGGCTGTCACTGAAAGTGGGGTAAGGTATGGGAGACAGAGCTGCTAAACTCCCTCTGCCCCCCCCCCCAAAAAAAACTCCTCTTTCTTTAAAGCAGAGTAACTCAGCTTTCATCTGTTTTACATATTGTGCCTGTGAATAAGGTTTTATTTTAGAGAAGAGAACTCTGTGGCTTAGAAAAAAGAATTCGACTACCATGGTTTATATGATGTCTAAATATAAATATTCTGAAGAGTTTAGTTGATTTGGTTACTTACCCTCACTCCATTCTTCCTGTTTAAAAAAAAAAAATCTCAAGAACTTGTCTCATTATAAACAACATTTTAGTCAGTCTTGTATTGAGTCAATTGCATGATGAACTTTTCACAGGCCATGTTGAGACAATCCTGTGATGTCAGCACTAGGATATCCCCACATACAGGTGAGAACAGTGGGGCTTAATGAAGCCACCACAGAGTACAGATCCAGACCCAAGTCCATTGCATGCTTGCACCCACACCGTTAACAATTAGGCTACATTGAATTAAATTTATTTTGGAGCCAAAAAAGGAGAGTTATTTGATAAGTATTATCATGCTACTCATCATTACAGCCCTTTTTGGGTACTGTGAAGTTGTACTTCAGTTCAAAATAATTTCACACAGTTGCTCACTTAAAAACTTTTGATTTTTAGTGAAAGTCATAGGATCCTAAATCACCTTATTCAGAAATATTTTTCATGCTTATTAGGAATAAAATCATTTATTTTTCTAATTCCGAGATTGAAGTTATCCAGAATCAGGGTGGTTCAGTTTTTCCCTTACTTGAATCTGTCTTTCAGTTTATCACTTTCTTTGATAAAATAGCCATTTTTTACTACTTTACATTACCAAAATCCCCAAATGCATCCTTAAATAGTGTATACCTACAGGTATTTGAGAGCAACCAGGAACTATTTGCGCTTTTCTTGCCAGGTACATAGCGTGTTCAAGAACTTTTGCTTATGTTGTCAAGATAATAAGGATTCCTGATCTCAGAATCTTTGCAAAAAATGAGTATTACATAATTCTTTCACATGCCCAGTGTTAAGATTATAATTTAAAATCTCCACTGCATGCCTTAAGTATTGATACAGTTGCTTTTTGCTTCCACCTCTACTCTCGGGTCCTGTGGCTATTGCTTCCTAGAGAAGAACCCTGTGTAGCACTCCGACTACTCATTTGGTTTATCCTTCCTGCCTCTGTCTGCTTCTATCTCCTCCTCCTCCTCTTCTTTTTCCTGACTGTGGCCATTTCACCAGATTCCATCTGCAGTCCTGAAATCATTTAGCACTCTCTCCTTTTATAGTCATATGTTAACTATGCTAAATTCTCTCATCAACTCTAATTTCTTCCGGGAGCCTTGTATTACTAACTGCTTGTTGAACATGTACATGTGTTTTTAGCACCTGAAACTCAGACTATACTCATGTTGGGTTTTTTTTCCCCCCCTGAAATCTCTCTCTCTCTTTTGATTATATCATCGACCTCCCAATTTCCATTCTGGAGCCAGCTTATCATTTATACTTACCTTTATTCGGGACAATTCCATCACGTTAGAAAATGTCTGTCGCATTTCCTCTCCCCGCATCCTCCCCTTTGCCATTCTTTTCTTAAGACCTAAAATCAGATTGAGGAATGTGCTCATTAGTCCATTCATATATCTTGTTGCTCTTGGGGTGCAGTAATCAAGCTAGCTACTCAGAATATATATAGCAAATTGAGCTATGCCCTCAGTGTAAGCTGTTTCCCTAAAACATAATTTAGGAGTTGCATTAGTTTCTGTGGGCCAACAAGACAGTGTTTATTGTTTTAGAATTTCAGAGCACCAACCTTATTATAAAACAAAGTAAAATTTGATTTCTAAAAGTACATGGTAGTCTGATAGTGACATAAAGGAATTTGAGACCATGTAAAAGAGTATAACAAAAACTGAAGTGGAGTGTTTCTAAAATGTATAGGAGGGGAAAAAAGTTTTTAAGCGGTGGAGAACCCATCTGGATTTGGTTAATTAGGAAAAGTTATGTGGAGTGCCAATTTTGAGCAAATGTAAAGGCGGTCCAAGGAGTTAGCCAGTGAGTGCAGCAGAGAGGAAGTGTTGCAGTAGCACAGGTGGCAGTTTATATATTGGGTCTTCATGGCTGGGTAGTTAGACGACCTTGAAAGCCTGGCAGTTTTTTCAGATGACCATTTTATTACAGTACTACATATATCATTGCATTATTTACATTAATATATATTATTATTTGTTACGTATGTACACACACACACACACTCAGCACGTGTGAAGCTCATTGAATTTTAAAAAGTGAGCATACTGGTATCTACCACTCAGGTCAAGAAATAGAATATTTCCAGGACCCCAGAAGCCCCATCATGCCTCCTCCAGTCTTAACTAATCAAACCACCCACCCTGCACCACACACCCAGCCTTCCACTCCCCCCCCACACACACAAACCCCAACACACACAGAGTAATCATTAGTTTGATTTTTGTCCTCATCAATTCATTTGGATTATTTTTCAGATGTCAGTTGGATCAAACAGTATGCTCTCTGTTTGTGTCTGGCTTCTTTTGTTCAACAATGTGTTTATGAGATTCATACTTATTACCGTGTGTAGCAGTAGTACTTACCATATGGCAGCTCATTGTATAAAAATACTGGAGTTTATTAGCCAGATACAGTTAATGAACTTTTAGGTTGTTTCTTAAAGTAGAAGTTAGAGCTGCTGTTAACATTCTTTATATATCTTCTGGCGAAATATGTATATAGTTCTGTCAAGTGTACACCTAGAAACTGATTTGCTGAGTCAGAGTACACCTATGATTATCTTTAGATACTGACAAACAATTTCTGGAGTGTTTGTACTCAGAGGAAGACTTTAGTTAGTAACTTGAAATCAGGAGTGTGTCATTCACTTTTTAATACCCTCATAGCCCTAAACCACATTGTAGACACTTACTCAGTTTTTGAATTAAGAAAAATGAGTGAGATATATTAATGTGTATATAGAAAAGGAAATAAAAAATACTGATCAGCATTCTACCAACATTTATTGATTCCCCAGTGGGCTAGAACTGAAATAGCATGCCACCATCAGGCAAATGAGCAATTCATTGTTAACAGTGTAGAGGATAGGGGATAAGAGAAAAAAGGAGATCTGGCATTTGGAGACTGAGGCAGGAACAGAGGTTATGGTGAAGGTGGAATGCCATGCAAGGAAGATTTGTTTTCTTTTTTCTTTTAGGGATAACTTATAGCCATTAAGAGGTAAACATGGGGTGTTTTCTTCATTTAGAAGAATAGTTTCTCCCATTCTAGAAGGGAAAATGCAGTTATGGAATCCACATATTTTATGTGTATGAAACTGATTTCAGTATTTTAAGGTCCATTTTGCTTTGCAGTATACTTATTTAAACTTTTTGCATTATGTTTTCTTTCCCATCTCAGGATCAAACACATATGAAGAGGCAGCTGCATATATTCAGTGTCAGTTTGAAGACCTCAATAAAAGAAAGGACACAAAGGAAATATACACCCACTTTACATGTGCCACAGATACCAAGAATGTGCAGTTTGTTTTTGATGCTGTAACAGATGTCATCATAAAAAATAATCTAAAAGATTGTGGTCTTTTCTAAGTTTTGTAGTTAATGATGAAATGCATTTTCAAACCAAAAGAGTGCTTGTATATGGATCTGTCTAGGCTAGAGTCTTGCAGCAACACAGAATGTAATATATGGCAAATGCATCTGGGACTTGACCCAAGTTGTTCTGTTTTGTTTTTTTAACTGAAAGTAATAGAAAGACCTTTCCTTAATGTGAAAGATGGTCCTGCAGTGTGAAACTGAACGACAAAGCTTGGCTCTAGTATATTGATGATTTTGGAATAAGTGTAAATATGCAAATGTATGTATACATGTATTTATAACTTTAGTTTTCAACATTACATTACGTTTACATTTTAAGAATGGCAACTTATGACTCTAGCATGATGGCATTGGAAATAACAAATATTAAGTACCTTGTACTGAGTGACAGACTATTACTGTGTTTGCCGGTTTAAAATGGCTTTATTTATGTTCATGTCCTGTAAATTTTTAAGTATAGTAAGTAATATTGGGAAATCTGGCAGCCTTTATTTTGATTATATGCGCACTTGTATTCATAAAAATGTTATTTGTACAAACATTGCACAGACTATTTTGATAACATGATTTGTTCCTTAAATTTAATGTGTTTTACTGAAATGTTCTTAAAAAGGATGAATATAACTGCCTTTGGATCAATTATTTAAACATTTTAATTATTGTTTCATTTTAAGGAAATAAAATAATTTGATTTTACATTAGATTCTACATTAGATTTGGTTTGAAAAACTAAAATTTCAGATTTTTAAGGATATACTATCTTGGACTTACTATAAGTGCTAATTTTTATTCAGTTTGTTTTCACTTTGAATTTTAATATTTGGATGGTATTGATGCATTGCCTTAAAGGTGGTGCCAGATTAATTTTTATACACTTTAGATAACTACATTTTTATTTATAACTAAGTTTAGGTGGTTGTTGAGAGCATTTTTGTGGGTAAAAACATGTCAGCATAATGAATTTTGAGACATTCATTAGCGTATTTCCTTTGAGAAATCCCTTGTACTTAGCATGCATGATAGTTCCTTGTTTGGAAAATAACAAGAAAGATCTTTCAATACTCTGTTGCTGATATAATTCAATCTTTAAATTGATATATGTAACTTGTTTTGAATTTAATTATCACACTATGTTAAAGTTATTATTTTCCCTTAGATATTCAAATTGCCTCCACCTGCTTCAGTTTATATTTCTTTTTAAGTTATGCTATTATTTCTGAGAACCAAATGGACAATTATACTTAGAAAATGAGTAATAGAATTTAATAAGGTCAGTGATTGTATGCTCGGAAAAGTGTTACATATCAGCAGATATTGAACTTTGATAGAATCATTTTTCTTTTGATTATTCACGATATGTCTCTGTGACTTTCCGCAAAATGAACAGCATTCCCACCCCACCTCCCCTTTTTTGTTTAACTCATCTTGAAACAATTAGTCTTTCAGTAAGGTTTGCTGGTGAGTAGTTTCTTAGTTATGTGTGGTCATTTTGTTGAAGTATGTGTATGTGTGTGTGTGTATAGGTAACCATAAACTACATTTGTATGTTTCATTTGGGGGATTTTTTTTTCTTTGTAATGTAAAGAAATTAAAAGCTATCAAAATCCCTTAAATGTGTTAGTTTAGATTCTTTATGTGCCTTTCATGAAAGATATGTTTTCATTAATTTCACTGATGGAAGACCTGTAATATACACATTGTGAAGCTGTGTATGAAACTTAAATGTAATATGAATAAATTTGAATCATGAGAAATATGGTTTTAAAAGCCACAAAGAAGCACATATTGGTGACCATCATTGATGAATTTCTGAACTTTATTCTGTGTAATTGTGTTACTAATAAATCCTAATAAATTTAAATTTTTAAAATTTTACAAACCTGTTGGTTAGATACATTTTGCATTAGAATTTAAGTATCAGTCTATTATATCTTCATTTCTTCTTTCTCTATGCCCTTTTTGCAGTTTCATCTACCATAAGCTTGAGTTTTCCCTGTCCCAAGTTTTCTCTTGAGATATGATAATGCCCATTTGCAGATGCCTCTTTGATACCCGCTTCTGACAACTCATAGCCTGTTCCACCTCAGTATGACCAAAACCAAATTCATCATCATTCTCACCTTAAACCAGTTCTCACCCCTAACCTTGCCGTTTTGGCTACTAAGTACCATCATCATTTACTCCTTCAATGGATAATATTTTAACCATTTGGATCTCTTCTTAACCCTCATCTCCATCTCTGTTTACTGGTAGTTCTACTTTCCCAGTGCTTCATATCTGTTTTTTTGTTTTGTTTTCTTTTCCATTTCTACTGCCACCAACTGAATTCAGGTCTTTGCTGAACTTCCACTTGAAATGACTTGTTAATTAAATTCCTCACTTCCTATTTCTCCCTCTTCTAATCCAGGTTAGTTATCCTAACATAGAACTGTGGCTTTGTTGCCTTCTGTGATTTACCTGCATTGATTTTAACTTGTCAGTGATAACTTAGGCTCCCATAAAGCCTCTTTATCATCTGGGCCCACTTCACTGCTCTCCTTCTCTTCTGCTACCCCACCCTACACACAAATAGTGACCTGGGCATAGCCTGGGCTTTCCTGCAAGCAATATAGTGCATACTGCGTGTGCATGGAACATGGGAAGTGTTCGTTTGTGTCTGCTAATGTTTTTATCCTGTATTGATTAGCACTTTTGTTTGTGATACCTTTTAAAGATTCCACTGGCATCTATCTATTCTTCATTCTGCCCTTTTGGGAACTTGATGGTTCTGGTAGGGCTGCCAATCACATTTCTCCCTCCCCTGGCTATTGGCTCAGACCTGCCCAGTCCTCATTCCCCATGGACAGTTAAGTGACCCAATCTGAGTCAATCATAGTCCCAGTTCCCATTCCTCAAATCCCTCCCTGTGGTTCCTTAAATTCCCTTCATTTCATACCCTTCTGAAAAAAACTGCTTTTATGCTTTATCTAATTCAATTGGGTTTATTCTTTTACTGCAAAAGTACTGACTAAAATGAATATGTTCTTATTGAATGCCGGCAGTAACTGCGAGATAGATCGAAAAAGGTTCAGAGAGGTTAACTTGAGCAAGACCAGATCAAGCTTTCAAGCTTAGGACTTCTGATCCCATGTCTATCATAGGACTCCAAAGAATGCTACCTTCTTTCCCAAAAATGTGTTAAGTAGTCATATCACCTCTACCCTTCTGAGTTTCTCTGAACCAAAATTTGCTTTTTTAAATTTAAAAAAAAATATATATATATATATATATATATATTATGCCTTGAATCAAAGCTATTTGTTATCTTAACACCTTAACACCTTTTAGATTTGAAACTACTTAAGGGCACAGTTATGTGCATTTTTACATCATTTATTGTCTGCTTAACCACTCATGATGCCTTGTATAAATGAATTTAGCCAATACTGTAATCACTACCGTTGATTAAAATGATCAGAGACGCGAAGGAAGACGCAGCAGACGAGATGCAGGTGAAGAGCGGGGGGCTACTGCTCTCTCACGCAAATAGCACCGACCCAGCCGCTGTTACAGCTTTTATTACATTTAGCAAGCTAGTGCATGCAAGATAAGCATTAATGCATAAATTCTGCTATGCTATTCTCAAGAACAGAAGGCCGTTACCTCCCTTCTGAAGCACTTGGTTATCTATATTGTGTCTCCTGGGAACATCCCAAGAAAGTGTTCTCACGACTTCAAGCGTTGTCAAGGATTGTTTGCAATCCTTGACATTTCTTGGCTAACTCGTTTGCGAGCTGACCAAGTGAACATGTCCTTGGGTGCTGTCCACAGAAGTCCATTAACCATTTCCTTCACACTACTATAGGTGTTAGCACTGTCATTATTTAGTATGTTATTTTAGAGAGAAATAGAAAGTGATGGTGAAAATCCTAGGCTCTGGCACCCAGTCTGGGTTCAAATCCCAGCTCTTCCTCTTATTAACTTCCTTTTATTAACTTGGACAAGTTGTTTAATCTTGCTCTGCCTGCTTTTTATGATCTGAAAAAAATAGGGATTAAATAATCAGACCATTAATCTTAATGGTTGTTGTCAGCATTAAATAAATTCACAGTACATGTTAAGCACTTAGAAGGGGGTGTGGCATGTGATAAGCCCTCAAATTTTGCTGTTATGTGATTATAAAGAATAATTTTAGAGTGTCTTTAAAATCATAATCAGCACCCAACATAGTTGATACAAGCTTTCGATGGAATGCCTCAAAAACAAAACAGCTATCATAATTTATAGTTAAAAATTCTGAGTGTCACATTGATATTGATACTGGAAAATGTAAATGAGAAAATCCACTTTAATCAACTTCAGGACACTTCTCTGATAATGTAACCAAAAATATCAAAGATTTGTTATTTTAAAGTTAGTTTGGGAATTTTTTTTCTTTTAGTTGCTTTTCAAAGCCCTACCTTAATAGCTGAAATGCATTTATATCAAATGTTTTATATTTCCGAACTCCACTGGCCTGTTTCCCAGGCATGTTTTTACTTAACGAATAACTGGTTGCTTTGGTATTTATTGTGATTTCTAATATTTACTTGGATTTCTTAGTTACTTTAAAAGTTATGAAACATTTCATCAAGTCTAAAGGCACCCAAATATGCCCAGTTAGGAATCAGCTGTAGTTGTCTGGGCCAGAGCCGATGAGGCCAGAACTGGAGCAGCCCCACTGTAAGCACCATGTATGAGGTCAGATATTTCCAGCTTCCTTGATTTTACTGCCCATCTTTGTGGATCTCCATTCGTGAAATGAATGGAAACATCGTTTTGCAAAAAGATAGTTCTTCAAATTAAGACTGCATTGTAATTGATTAAAAATGAGATAATAGTGTTGAGGAAAACATGCATAAAAGATCAATCTGGCAGGGACTATTTTAGCAGATGAGAGTGCCACTTAAGGTGATGTTTCTTCCTGAATGCTGTAGTGCATTGCCTAAAAGAAAGCATTGTGAGCTGAGATTATCATGTCAAAAATGCATTAATGCACCTAACCTGCTGCTAAACAGCATAGCTTAGCTTAACATACCTTAAACGAGCTCAAAGCACTTAACATTAGCCTACAGTTGGACAAAATCATCTAATTCAAAGCCTATTTTGTAATAAAGTGTTGAATACTGTACTGAAAGTAAAAAACAATAGTTGTATGGGTACTCAAAGTTTGGCTTCTATGGAATGCATGTCATTTCCAGACCATCTCATAAAGTTGAAAAATCTTAAGTTGAAAAACTGTGAGTTCGAGACTGTCTATACTTAACAGTAAAACCCTCGAGCACCTAAGGGCCAAATAAATTCCTTTTCCAACTGCTGTGTCTATAAAGGGATTCTTCAAATTAACTTTATCCTTGCACAAACATGCTATATATTTATCTCTATCTTACCAGGATTTTCTGTTTTTGCTGAATTAGATTTACAGTTTTGAAGTTAATTTTTATTAAATTGACAAGTGTTTGTACAATTTCAGTGTAAAGCTAGTCTTCAAAATAAACCACTGTAAAGATTGGATATTATCTGCGATTTTCTGTTATGCCTTCTTAACATTTTAATTATTTTCTGTGGAAACTTCACAGAATTTCAGCTTTAATCCTCTCCTCACTGGTGAAAATCCAGAGAGTGAAGTCAAAGCTACTTCCTCCAAATTATGTTTTTTCATGGGCCAAATTTTTTTGTACTGTCCTCCTTATCTGTTTCACCCAGTTTTAATAAAAGAAACTTCTGAAGAAAAAAAAAAAAAAAACTACTTCCAAACAATTCTGTCTTTAAATAGTACTGAACTGTCAATTTTGTAGCTTGTTGAATCTGGACTGTCCCAGCAGCAAATTCATGATTTGCATAGCACTCACTTTGCAGTGCTCTGCTATAGTGTAAACTGTGTTTCTCTTATTTACAAATATAAGTATCTTTCCATGTAAGTGACCAGTTCTCCTAGAGACCTACTTCACAAGGCAATTTACCTCTAATAAATAGAACTTGTTTTGCAGACTTGGGTGTAGATTTTACTCATTCTTAAATTCCCTGTTATAGTAGATTGCAAATTAATTTTAACTGTGGATCTTTTTCTTCAAAAGATTGCTTATCTAAAGTCTAATAAAGAATTTTTCTGGCTGAGGCTGGAGTGGAAAGCTTGGAGCCAGCATAAAGAGCCCTTTCTTCTGTCTGACGTGGGCTTCTGATCTCATGTATGTAAGGCATCTACGTGCAAATTTGAAACAACATAGTTCTAAATCAAGTCCCCTGAAAAATTTACTCATACAGTAGAATTCATTCAAAACCATTAACTCATACATAGTTTTGAATATACTGTGTCCCTTCTAATATCATAAATATGTAGAGAAAGTGCATATATAATATATTTATTGAGTGCCTGCAGTGCACCAGGTACCCTTTTGGGTGCTTTACTGATGATCTTGTAGTCATCAGAACAGTTCTGCAAAGTTGGGAAAATTTCTATTTTCCAGATAAGAGGACAAATTTGAGAGGTTAGTATTTTGTGCAATATTGGCTACATAATAAGTGGCAGAGCTGGGAATAAATTCCAGGTCTATATGTCATTTGTCAGCCATATCTTCACACTCCAGTGGCATAAAGAAGTTTGTTCTAAGGATGCCATGTGATGCAGTGCAACATGTCCAGTGGTGGTACTTGAGCAGATGTTAATACATATGCATAAGGTACATTAGCATGTCAATGGCTATGAAAAGTCCTGCAGTAAAGAAATCTATATGTATTAATTAACCCTCTGTTTCTCAGACACTGGAGCTACACTAACACAGCAGCCACTGCCCGTATATGGCTATAGAGCACCTGAAATATAGCTAGTCCAAATTGAGATGTGCTATATATTGTAA